GCGATGCGAAAGTGTTAATAATTTGTTTCTGATCCCTAAAAGTATCGTCGCAAGCGTAATTCTTCAATTTCGAGCGACAAATTTTCTCCCTAAGCCTGTCGTTATTTCGTACCGAAACCGGTGCAAAAAGAGCATCTTGACAATAATTAACCCAGCCCGAGCTCCGGATAATTCCTAATAAATTTGGCTAAACACGAGGCGAGCGTATTGTTGTAACTTAGCGTAAAAGCAGCCAGGAAATAAATCTTCATGGTTTCGGTGCGAACATGCTTTAACAAGAACCAACTGTATTACCAGATCTATCACTTAAAGTGAATAACCATGTAAGTCACTTTCGTACCCAAATCTCGATATTTTTATGAATCCACATCTTCATTATCTCGTAATCTCCGCCACGGTGAAAAATATTTCCGGCCAAAAATGGCGCTTTGTCCGCCGGAAACCCAATATCAGACCCAGTGGTACTATACGACTCAATTACGCATTGCGCACAATTCTGTGAATGTTCTTAATAATCGTTAGTATGTGTAATTATAAACATTTTTGGGGCCGTTAACGACGGAGGCGGGACTGACCTCTCATACATTGCACAAGAGGGACTCGTGCTATTTGACCCAGAGAGCGAGATTTTAGCCGGGTTTGCAACCCTTCTACATACATGAGCGAAAAGCCATTTTTTTCCTATCGATGCGAAACTTTCAAACTGTTGGAGTGTTTATGAGTGCTTACATCAGCTAAGAGTTTCAACAAGCACACTGATGATTTTGTATATTGTTTTGATGTGTGATGAATAGAATGTGAAACTCTTAACTGGAATTTTCTTCGAGGAGACGCTTAGAAGTTTCAAGGAGAGTTGCAAGGTTTTTATTTTATATTACGTGACTTTAACACTCGTTGAAGCTTTTACAAACTAAACCAAAATATCAAATTGTTTCATCAAATGTATTAAAAATACTTTTTAGCTAAATTTGTGTTAGAAAGGTCTTTACAACATCATTTGCTAAATTAATTTTTGTGCACTCTACTAGTGCAATTAGTTTTTAGGTTGAGACTGAGCATCTCTTTGCATTTCGTTAATTAGAAAACCGTAATTACCCTCTTATCAAAATTGAAAAGTCTTGTCTTGAGCTCGTTTTTCCCTTGATTCATTTATCAAAATTCCGTTTATGGCAAGCCGTCAAATCCTACAAGAGGCGTATATAAATAAGCCTCTGATTGTTGCTCCGACGCTAAACAAGTCGTCTCTTACTTTTCCACTTTGCTTTCAAGGACACCCTCGAAATTTGAGTATAGAGAAGCGCTCATGTGTAGGTGATGAATAAATGCGCCGATATTGCCTCCGAAGAGAGATATGAATTATGGCCGCCTCTGGCCGGAAAATAAAAGGGCCGTTTGATCCTTCTCTCGCGAGAATGTGACTCGTCTCGTGGCAAATCGGGACATACCTCACGTCTGTATCGGACGTTTGCCATCGCTGATAAAGAGATGGAATTCAACAGACGGCTGAGAAATTTCAAATCGCGACGATAAGGACGCGCTTTCCATCTTCGATAAAAGGATAACGGAAGGAAAGGGGAATTGTTTCTGGCACGGAGGCTTTTTCACGGGATTGGACAGCCAGGAAGAGAAAAAATAGATTTTCAAAAGGAAAGCCGAAACTGACGACGTTTTATTCTTCTGATACTCATCTGGAAGCTAAAATAAACCATTAGAATTTTATCTCCAATATTTGTATTTATTATTTTTGGAATAGTTTTAATCCTCTTTGTCACGTGATAAATAAAATGTCCAAGTTTTCTCATCAGTCTTGATTAACGTCTGGCGGCTTTTAATTAAAACACTTCCTCTCCCTTTCGGCTCTTTGGGGAATTAGAGAACAATTCCGCGTTCCGACTGTGCCGACAAATTATATACATGTCCGACATGCAGAAACCGTCAACTCCAATTGGTCTTGTAATGGCTTTGGCGCCGAATTTTTCATCGCGTAATTGCATTTATGGCCGAGTTAAAATCACACCGTGGAACATGATCTGTTTGATGTCGAGGTGATAACATCTCTTGGGACGATGCGCATGATACGGGCCTTGCGGATAAAGGACATGACGGGCCGCAGGTGCCACCATGGCTAGATAAATGCTCAGGTCAAAGCGTAATCAACAGTTACGAACTTTCGGAGAGTGATTGAAAAGGACTAAATGCCGGTCCATTCCGAGCTTTTAGAGAGTAATGCGACAACAGCACAAAGATACAAATGAAACAGTCAATTGTGGCCGCAAACGACGATTTTTAGTTTTGCTGATGCGGCTTTGGGTCGATAAAGGCTCAAACGGCGGGACTTAATTGAGTCAAAAAACTGTCTTTTGAAGCGTTTTTACCATTTGCTTACTTATGCACTAGCCCAGTGCATCCACCATTTTTAATTTGGTAAAAATGTTTACACCATTTCAACTAAAACTGCTAATGAGTTTCTTATGACTTGCTTTTAACAAATTTTTAAAATTAATCTTTTTATTCGAAACTAAAGTTTAAATTTATTAAACAACATGCAATAAAACATAAACAATGTATTACCTACTATTGATTACCAGACAGGCTCTAACTAAACAAAAACATAAAAAACTATAGTAGAGAAGTATTGATTAAACAGCTTTGTTCATTGTTTTTTTAAGATCCGAATTAAAAAAAAAATGAATGCATTTCTTCATATGCTTTATTAACAATTTTAATAATTAAAAATTTGATTGTTGTTTCTATTTTTTTTAACTTGAAACGGAAATTTCAAATTAAACAAAAACATTTACAAAACAAAAGATTCATTAAAATAGAGAATATTTATTTACCACTACTACTAATTATAACGTAAAATAAGCCTGGACACAGTGTGTTTAAAATTATTTTACCGCGTAGAAAGCGTTTTCTTGTCAAAAGCATATACGCTTGTAATCAAGCGTAGATATTTTTTGGAACAAAACAAGAATAAAAAATGTTGAATAAGTGTGCTCGCAGCATAAGTGAGTTTTAATGCTCATGGCATTTGAGTTCCGCTGGAAAACTTATGGAAATAGTGCATGCAAAATCCCTTTAGATTTTCCTTTTCCGTGTAGTTGTCGGTGTAAACATGCCAAGGCTGCGGCGGCCATTTAGAGGCTTATAAAATTAAGCGTCGTCGACTGTCACTAATGGCGGATTAGCGATTGTTATCGCCGATAAATTTATTGCAAAGAATGGCCTTTCTTGCCGATAAGACTTCTCGACACGCCAGTTTTGCTTTAAACGAAACAAAGTTGATGGATTTTCTCCGATCGCGTTTTAAAGCGCTGCTAAGGCCAATTTGGTCCGTTTTACAAGGCGCCATAAATTAGAACGCTGTCGGTATATTTTCAATTACAGCGGCTATTAACCGAGGCTGGTGCAAAGCGATCAAGCCTTGCACAAAGGGCGGGAGTTACCGCGCTCGATCGCCCTCTCCTTCTGTTCAAGGATCGCAAAAAGGATAACCGAGACGGTTTACAAGGCTCCAAAACGCTTTCATAAACATGTTATAGGCTTGTTTGCCGAGGGACTAAAAGAAGGACTCCATTAAAATAATTACTATTTCAGATGGTGAGGATCGATGCAAAAATTACAAAGTCGCTGAGAGCTATTAAAACGTGCCCCTCATTAGCCGACGTCCATTATAAATCACCTTAATTAATAATACAGAAATAATTCGCTCGACTTCCTGGGAAATTTCGGCGAGCCAACCTGCTGTTGCACCACCAGCTTTACCACATATTAATTAGTTGACGAACAACTTGCGATTATTTATATTGAAGATAAAACAGAGGAAATTTTTATGCCAAGTGGAACAGGAAATTGTAACCACACGTGTCGACTATTAGCGATTGCATTAGACTACATTCGATCAATAGTGAACGAATTCGCACACAAGGGTACCAACTCCGGAGCGCCAAATTCGGACCAAACTTAATTAATGCATTAGCACACACAAGCGCTGTTTCATTCAATTTTAATTGCTAAAACTCAGAGATTTGTTTTCTTTTGGATTTCATGGACAACGCTTTCCAAAAAGGCCAATACATGTTTTTGAAAATGTAAAATTGTAATTAAAACAAACACAAATAAAACAGTTTCTACTAAATACCTACTCAATTAGCAAAAAAAAATAGCTCTTTATAAGCAACGTAACACGATCTTGATTGATTCGTAAACTTAGGTAAGTATTAAAAAAATTGTGAAAACCAAAATTTTATCTTATCAGATGCTATACACATTTGACTTTAAAATGCTTGTTTCTAGATAGACTTTGTCAAATACTTTTTTTTTGTGTCTGAATTTATTTTAAAATATTAGATGTTAAGCCGATTTTTACCTTGACTAATTTTATAAATAGTGGTTTAAAATTCGTAAACGGTTATCATCTTGCATTTACATTTTCTCGACCGCTTTCATTATGCACCATCTGTAACAAATAATTTGAATAGTAGTATCAACCTAGTTTAGCCTATTTGCGGCTTAGTTTGCTCACAATTAGGCATTTAGTCGCACCATTTGTCTATAATTACAATTTAAACGTAATATTTCTCTTAAAGTATAATACTTTTGCCAGTCTCCTTTATCCGAACCTAATTAGAATCGACCTTCTCGGTTACCATCTCTCGTCGTCTCTTACATTGTTTTATGGAACGTGCAAATTGGATTACTCTTCGTTAAACAGTATCTCGCAAGGACAATCGAGATATTGCAAGTTCGTTTCCTTGTCGATAACAAGTGTTCCACATACATAGATTTTCGAGCCTCAATTACGTCGAATAAAATGTATTTGGTAGTCGTGGGATTTGTGCCGCTCAAATTGCGCCATAAAAGCAATATTTTTCCGAAAGTTGTATTTAGGTATCGGATATCAAAGCTGGGGGATTCAATATCGCAATCCCCGAGGTATCTAGTCGTAGCAGTCGTCTGGATGATTGACACAGATTCAAAAAGGCTTATTTTTTCAGGTGAATGGGGCTTGGACACTACCAGGTTTTGTCTGCGATTTCTACATCGCGATGGACGTCACATGCTCAACTTCTTCCATCTTCAACTTGGTCGCGATCTCGATAGATAGGTGAGTTGAGAGTGATGGTGGGCGGAAGGGAGCGACATATCCACTCCGACGACTTTAATCAAATTGGTACGAGCGGATGTGGTGTGCGATATTGCGATGATACGACGACACGAGACCTGTTGAAATGTTTATTACATTTTTCAGAGCGGCCATTAATTAGATGTGAACAGTATACGGACTATCGGCAAAGTTGGCTAAGCTGACATAAATAATCTGAAAATTGAAGACTGTATTATTTTGTTAACTAATTTTTGTCGATAACCATTCTCTCAAAGAATTTGAAAAACTTGAATCATTTATAATAATAGGTAGGTATAGTACGTCGGATGTGTCAAAAAAGCCGGGCAGGCAAGACATGGGAAATTCACTGGCGGACACGGAATTTTGGACGATTTGTCATTCGACTGACATAAAAATGTAAAACGGGCCTCACGTTCGGTTTTTGTAATTTTTATCCTGAGAGCCAAAAAAATGACAACAAATCAAAATAATTTATTGATCTTATATAAAAACACGTATTGTTTCGGAAAATCGACGCCAAAAATAAATTTCACTTAAAACTTTCAAATTTTAGTTTCAAACGTCAATCGTAATGACAATAAAGCGTGGCTTACATTAACATTTTTGAACTGTCATAAATTTGATGTCCAAAATTCCGTGTCCGCCAGTGTATTTCCCATGTCTTGCCTGTGATCACACAGAGAAAACAATTTTATAAACAAATGTTCTAGATCTAAGGATTTTCTTTTCAAGGAAAACTCTTAAAACAGTAAAGAAAAACGACAACACAGTTCAAGAACACTTCTTTACCTTAGACAGGTGTAACTATGGTGAACTAATAACTTTGTAAAAAATTAAAATATTGTTAAATAAATAATATATCTTGTGCTAAGAAAATGTTACATTATATTTGCTACAAAGTATTTCATAATATGGCAAGGTAATTTAAATGTTGCCATATGTTGGAAGCATAAAGCTCGATTTTCTAATTCATTAAAAAATAACTAATTTTGTTAGTTTTCATAGTGGATCATAAAATTTTGTAAATGTTTACTTAGAGCTACTTTATAAATTGTAAAATAATATTATTTTTGCTGTTTTCTTAAGGATTCATTATTTATTGCTAGGTTTTTTCATGACCTTCAAGCAGATGTAACATACTTAAAAATGCCCAATAAAATTCGGTTATTTTTTTGAAGATCTAAAGAAATCAAAATAACTCAATTTGCTATATTGGAATATTTAGTTTCTGAGGTACAGAGGATGCAACCGGCTTTTTAGCGTTGAAAAAATCGTCAAAATTATAAAATACAGGGTGCGCCAGAACTCGCGCCTCAGAGAAAATTTTCAAGTAAGGTAAGATACCAGGAACATGAAAAAAATGTTAAAAAAATTCTATCTGTAAAAATTTCGAAGTTATGAGAGCTTAAATTTTGCACTCTTACTTCTATTTATTTCTGTTGGAAAAATAATTTTAAAAGATTTTTTAATACAGGCTATTATAAAAGAAAACAAGGAAGCTGTATCCTAAATTGTATTTTGACATTTATTTTTTGACATTTGACATTTTTTTATATCTATTTAATGATACTGATGATCTTGTATACGTTTTTTTACAATTATTTAGTAAAGGGACAAAAATTTTGCCAATAAAAGCCACAAATAACATTGAACAGAGTTACAATTTAGGATACAGCTTTCTTGTTTCCTCTTTTAATAACCTATAGCAAGAAAATTATTTTTCCAATTGAAATAAATAGAATCAAAGTGCAAACTTTAAACCCTCATAACTTCGAAATTTTTATAGATAAAATTTTTTTAACATTTTTTCCATATTCCTTATACGGGGCGCGAGTTCTGGCGCAGCCTGTATAAACAAAGTTTGCATCTTTTGGAGTACTTTATTCCAAAGTTACAAAGTCCAAAATCTTTTTACTGAGTCAGAATAATGAAGTTTGAATTATAGATTTGCTCGTTTCATGTAAAGCAAAAAATGTTTTTCCTTTGCAGTTTTAGCGTAAAATCAAAGATAAAAAAAATTTCGTCTTGTAAACTCAATCCAAGGACATACTGTATAATAGAAAATTTTGAAGTATTATTATGAAGATAGGCAAAGGTATGTTTGTTTCGGTTTTATACAGCAAGACTAAAAAAAAAGCAAAAAAGGAAGCGTATTTCAAATTCACATTTAACATTTAAAAAAACAAAAAGCACCAAAAGAGGATTTTGTTATTTGACAGTGTAATGAATGATTTTTTTATGTTGTAACAAATCAACACAAGACAGTAAGTACTTAAGAGGAAATCTATTGTGAAAATTCTAAACTGAAACCAACATTTTTATTTTAAATTATGTTATAGTTTTCTAAAAGAGGAAAATAGATTATTTTACTCTTATGTTGTGTAACCAAATTGCCAAATCTATTGTAATTGGGTCTGGTTTAAATAAAATATATGAATCACCTTTCAGCGTTTATCTCTGGATAGAGTGTCAGGTTAAGACAAGGGAGTATTTTGTATCGATGATATCAGCAGCAAAACACATCGGGGTCCGTACAAAAAGCTCAGCGTCCAATGAATTTTTTGGCAAGACAGGTTGAATGGGCCCCCTGAGGGATTGCGACCTTTGTTGTGGCAAATTAAACTCGGCTCATCAATCACGCGAATGATAATAGGTCTGCATTGTTATTCTGAATATACACATAAAGCTAGATATGCAATTTCGGGTAACAACGGCCCCTTTCGCGGGCCAGGTACCTCCGATGAGCCAAGTTCTATCGATCTTCAAGCGCACACGCTCACAGTCATTGCCGCAATGAGCTATATAGATGTCTGTCACTTATCCTAATGAAGTCTTCAAGTTCGTCTAAAGTGTGTATGTGACGCCGCTAGAGCTGGGGGAAACTTGGCTTGGAAGAAAATAAAATTAAAAACTCGAGCATAATTAAATTTGAAATTTCAAATTTAGTATTATTGTTTTTTGCGTCGTGTCTAAAATAAAATTACATTTGAGGGAAGAAAATGAAGTCGCAATTTTGCTCCAAATGCATCTAACGATCTCAATTACTCCATATTGAAGTTAATCAAGCCGATATTGTCTTGTTTATTTCAGGTATATCGCCGTGACCCAGCCGATAAAATACGCCAAGCATAAGAACAACCGAAGAGTGTGGTTAACCATCGCCCTCGTGTGGATGATATCGGCGGCCATTGGCTCCCCCATCGTCCTCGGCTTAAACAACACCCCCGATCGCGTAGCAGATGCGTGCCTATTCTACAATAGCGATTTTATCATCTACTCCAGTCTGTCCTCGTTCTACATTCCTTGTATCATCATGGTTTTCCTTTATTATAATATATTTAAGGTAAGAAATAGAGCTATTTTTCAACCAGCTGAACGCAATTTCGTTCACAGATCTCATTTGAAAGAAGCGACTCTCAATACAAATCCTCGTTTTACTCTTATTCACATGCAAAGTTTTGTCCAATTAAAAGCGGCCCAGATCGGCTCTATTTAGTTTCACTTCTTTATTCGTTTGCGAGTAACCTGTTCACCCATTTATTTCAGTATACACGAGCAAACTTCTATTATGCCAAAGCGGGCTTTTCCTCTCATAGCCCCCAGGTAATCACTCATAAAACCGAAACTTATAAGAACTCCGTAAAAACTTTTATTTAATCAAAAATTTATTTAAATTTGGGAAATTAGGATGAATTCAAATTGTTCTCATACAAACCTTTTTCACATTTTGCTTTACATTGTTTGAAAAAAAATTACAATTAACATATCTACCAATTACACACATATTTTTGCTGTAGAAGGGTTTTCTATTCAATGAATAAATAAAGAAATGAAAGTATTATTATTTGCCCGAGGCATCCAACATTTTTTCTCTTTTAAAAATGTGTTTGAGTACACTGTTTATAAGTTAAAATGATAATTTCTTATAGGTTTTGAGGTCCTGAGTTCAAAAAAAAAAAAAAACTTTTATTTAACCAAAAATGTATTTAAATTTGGGAAATTAGGTCATCCTAATTTCCTTCCTTTGTTCATACAAATGCTCCAATTCAAGTTATTCTTATACAAACTTTTTTTCATTTTTTGCTTTAAATTGTTTGAAAAAAAGTTACAAATAACGTAACTACCAATTACACACAGTAAAGATACAAGTTTAGTCATATTTTTACTGTAGAAGGATTTTTTATTCAATGAATAAATAATAGTTATTTATAATACAAGACAATCAAGAAATTGTTTACCTACGAGTGAAAAGGTTAAGTTTACGAGTGACGAAGTCACGAGTGGACGTATTTCACGAGTAGATAAACAATCTTTATCGTCGTGTATAATATTTCGTTTTATTTTGTATTCACTTACAAGAATTTCTTGAATATAACCAGTAGATAAAAATTACTTTATTTCTCTAGACGATAAAAGACCACTTTATGTACTGAAATTAGTTGATAAAAGCACTTTTTAACATTGGGTTCAAAATAAAGAAATGAAAGTATTATTATTTGCCCGGCGCATCCACCATTTTTGTTTTAAAAAGTTTTTAAGCAAATTGTTTATAAGTTAAAATTATAATTTCTTATAGATTTTGAGATTCTAAGTTAAAAAAAATATTAATAAAAAACTTTTATTTAACCAAACATGTATTTAAATTTGCGAAATTAGGATGAACAAATGCTCGAATACAAATTATTCTTATACCCTTTTCCATTTTTTTGCTTCACATTATTTGAATAAAAGTTACAAATAACATATCTACCAATTACACACAGTAAAGATACAAGTTTAGTAATATTTTTACTGTAAAAGGATTTTTTATTCAATGAATAAATAAAGAAACGAAAGTAGTAGTATTTGCCCGGCGCATCCACCATTTTTTTTCTTTATTTAAATATGTTTTTAAGCAAACTGTTAATAACTCAAAGTTATAATTTCTTATAGATTTTGAGGTCCTGAGTTCAAAAAAAAATATTTAAAAAAGTCTATCACGTCACGAAATATGTAATTAACAAAAATACAAAAACCGCCAAAATGAGTTATTTTACTTTGTTTTTTATACTTTTTTTTGGATCAGTTTTTTTATAAAAGTTTAACAGTAAACTCCTAACTTATTTACATCCTAAAAACCTATGTGCCGAACTTTGAAAACCCTTCAGTTCTTGATCTCGCGTTTTTTATCACTCATGCCGCCTAACTTCAGAAAAAAAAATCTAAATGAAATGTATTTTAAGATCTATTTAAACCCATATGGTGATAATTTTGCCATAATTCAGCAACAATTTGGATTTTAAATAGATTTTAGATTGGAGATATTTGTGCAGAAAGCAGGAAAATTCGTTCGTAGCAAAAATCTGACGTGATTAAAAAAATTAACAATTATTCTTGTTTAATTAAACATGAAAATAATAATTTGATTAAAAGCATATTAAACAAATTAGTGTAATTATTTTATGTTTGAGAAATAGGTACGATTCGTAATTTGTTTTTCAAATAATTTGTAGTCCCGGAACTTGGGTTCAGCTGTCAATTGTGTGTCTTTTATTTTACTTTTGCCTCTACTTGTCTAGAATAGCTTAGGAGAAATATGTCTTGGGTGTCCTTGCACCTATGTGAGAGTCGTTGGTTTTTTTTCCAGGCGTTGAGAAATCGTGCGCTTCAGGCACGTCTCAACCGCAAACCTCTCCCTTCCGAAATCAAGCCCGGATCTGTGATAGAGAACGTGGCGAACACCAGACGTTTAGCCGAAACGACCCTCGGCCCAGCCACCATCGAAGAACAAGCCACCAACACAGGCTCGGGCTCGGGGGACGAGGACGAGGAAGGGGCCGAAGCCGACTGTCACGTTATATCAAACGACAAGAGCACTGAATTCATTTTAGCAACAGTAGTCGAAGAAGCCGCGTAAGTCTTTAATCGAATTATATTTCCATCTCAATGTTATTGCATCCTGCATTTCCCTAGAGGTGCCAACTGAGCATATTTTATGATTTATGTCTTCATTTTTAAGGAAATAAATGCATCTTTTCCTTTGTTTTAATTAATCGGAGATTAAGGGAAATGGTAGGGAAAGGACTGTAATGGAGGAATGCGAGTTTTTTGAATTGCAGAAATGCTAATGGGATTAAGTTTAGCGCGATTTGTCTTGTCTAAATAAGAGAATATGTCTGAAAGATTTTAGCTTGTAAACAAATGAATAAAATTAGGTAATCTATGGTCCAAAAATAAAATTTTCTCCCAATTTCAAATTGTTTTTAATTTTAATTTTATATGCAATTTGATGTGTAATGGTAAAGTTTGTAAAGTATTTTAATGTGAAATTTTCTTGACGTAGGATGAAGTCCAAGGGCGAAACCGGTCCCCGATAATAAACAATTTGAAATTGGGAGGAAATTTTATTTTTGAACCATAGATTACCTAATGAAATAACCACAACTGGAGGTAACTACATAACCTAAATGAATAGAATGTCGCTATTCTTTGCAAGAGTTAAATATTCGGATTTTTTTTACTACAACTGTTTCCTGGAAATGTTTTAAGTTTCGACTTTAATATTTGTAAGGAAACGTTAAACTTCAAACAGATATTGTTGTAATGTTACTTCTTTGTAAAGTGTAGCTTTTTTGATAGAATTTGTCAATAAATGTTTAAAATTACATTTTGTTGAGTTTATAGAATCTTATTCAATTTTTTATGGTTTGCACTGTTTTATTTAAAAATTGTCGGTTTATGCGTCATCTATTTTTCTATTTTGATTTACAAATTTTACAAATAATTTAAAAAATGCGGCAATAAAAATATTGTTACCAGAAAAATGCGAAAAATTATTTTATTGTTTAGCCTTTTTTTATGCTAATTGTCGACTTTTAAAAGCATTTTTTGAGCAGCCACATGTAATATAGCCATTGTGGTCAAAAGGCGTGAAGAATCCGCCCCTCAAATGTTTCTCATTAATTTCTCGTAAGCTGTACACATTAAAAACTCCACCGTTGTATTCTCGATATTAATGAAGCTCATTTAGATTTCTTTACATTTCAGCCTTTAGGTCGCATTAAACAGTCATAATCATTTGGAACGCCTTGTATTATTCAAAATTTAATTAGAGTTAATACCTTTAACTCAACTACATTCGCTCTAGAAACAAAAATTGAGCAAAACCGAAATGAATTTAACAACATTATTCATGAAAACGAGAGAGGGAACTAAATGTATTTAGCCGCTCCGTCGATGTTTTTTAATTCGGAAGTTTAATTTTTTATTCTCCGTCTTATTACTGGCCCCGTATTCTTCAATGACGGACTTTTGACGGTTTGCATTTTTTACAGAGTGAACCACAAAAACACCAAGCCTAAATACGACGACGTGTAAGTGTTTGGTACACCCTGTAGACTTGATTTTTACCCAAAGTTTATTAAACCAATTAGAAACGACCTAATTCACTTAATCTTTCTGTCTTGTAGAGACTTTGCCCCTGGAATCACATGAATATTTAAACGCACCCTAACCCCAAGTAACGAAAATAGCGCAATTAACGAGTTCCCGAAAATTCAAATTTATAAATTTAATTAAAAAAAATGTTTACTTTTACAATAATCAGCCAAAACACCACTTGTTAAAAAAATCGTCTGGTTTGTGGTGTTTTGGTTGATTAAAAAATATGTGTTTTGGTGTGGTTTGACTTGGTTGGCTTAAGAAATTTTACGATTTCTTTTATTTTGGCAGCATATCAAGTGTAGTAGCCAGCCTAGCGTCACCAGCGCCTCTAGCTGATCCAAACGGAAACAACGATTCAGGGTATGCCCCAAGTCAACCAGACACCACAGCACCAGAGAGTCCTAAAAGGAATCGAAATCAGTCGAAGAGAAACGGCGCCACTCTCGACACTGAGCTTAGGCAAGTTAGATGTGCCGGATTTTCGTTGCTTTAGCAAGGGGGATAGTAGTTTAGAAGTACATGTAGTTACCAAAAAGTGACAACAATGTTTCTTTAAACATCCTACAAAATTAAGACAATCCAAAGTAGTAAACCCTAATAACTAATAAGTCCTTCGCTCTATTATGTTGTTATTTTGAATTGCTGACTACAGATTTCAGGAAAATTAATGAAAATTGGCAAAAATCTAAATTAATTTCAAGTAAAATCATCAAAATTTTTTATTCAATTTCGACCCCAGTAGGTATGTGTTTTCTTAGAAATAAAGATCACGTTGTGGGGTGTTTTACGACTGTTGAAGATGGTAATTTTGGCGTTTCAGAACCGTTGTATCAACAATAAATACGGGATCTGACCGCGACAGATCAACAGGGTCCAAAAAAGAGCGCAAAGCGACTGCAGCGGCCCGCTTCACCATCTACAAAGTGAACAAAGCGAGTCGTAAAAAGCGCGAGAAATCGTCGGCAAAAAAGGAGAGGAAGGCCACGAAAACATTAGCCATTGTGTTGGGTAAGCGGTCGTAGCGGGCGTGTGGGCAGGTCGGGGACTCCCCTCTGTGTGTTCCAGGCGTGTTCCTGATATGCTGGGTGCCCTTCTTCACGTGCAACATTATGGACGCGATGTGCAGCAAGCTGAACCTTTCCTGTCAGCCGGGGGTGGCGGCGTTTCTCCTCACTACTTGGTTGGGGTACATGAACAGTTTCGTGAATCCAGTCATCTATACCATATTCAATCCGGAGTTTAGAAAAGCCTTCAAGAAATTAATGTTCCTCGGGCCTTAATTTAATTCTAGGTTTGTATATGTTCGGTTGGAACTCTTTTATATAAGATTTCTCTTGCTCAATGTACATAAACGACGTTTTTTCGTAATCCTGCATTGAGTTGGTCGCATTTTTTTCGGCTCAAGCTTCGTTACGTACCTGAAGACTCAGCGGTTTAATTTCTCTTTCTCTTTCATTCATCGGTAGGCGAATAAGAGATATTCCGAATTTATTATAGACATATCATCAATTTTCATTCGAATATTCAATGCCCACGCAAAACGAGCTTCAATCATTGATAATAATTAGTGTTTTTGTAACGTTGACTCTCTGTCAAAACGGGGTCAATCAAGTACTTTCATTCCAAACATATTCTGTGATCGCTCTAAACTTAGACTAGATTAATTTTAAAAGAAATGTTTGATATTATTGAGTTTCGCCTTTTGTAAATATGTATCAGATTTTACAGCTGCTGTAGAACAATATTTGGCGCCCAACATTGCGGTGAACTATGCAACCAGCAATGCACGCCCGATGTCGGGACACTGCATTTTTCACTTATGTTCTCTCTGTACATACTTGTAAATACCAAAAATTACAAATAATTTCGGTGGTAAATCAGTATTAGAACAGTAAATTGTCCTTTGTGAGCCAAAGCAATATTTGTAAAAGTGCGTGTGTTTGAGGCCAACGCGAGCGTCCGACACACACTTTGAGCCCCATTTTTACAAAACTTTGCTCGGATATTTCCATCCCTTTGTAAAATCAAAAACCTTACGCTTATTATTATAAAATACTGTAAAATAGAATGTATAATATTAGGTGCATTGCAATGGACATATATCTAATGTTAAAATAAAGCTATTTCTTATAAAAACATACAACTTTTATTGCACAACGTGTTTACCAAAGAAAAATAATAATACCCACACTGTTTTTATCACATCAAATGAAAAACGTGGCGCGACGTTTACTCAAAGCAAATTTGTTTTCTTCGACGCTTTCTTTGCTTGATACAAGGCTCACGAAACCCAACCCTACAAAAAGTTACACTTAATCCTAAACAAAAAAACATGAAGCAAATTTTTAATTAAAACTAAAGACAAAACTATGTTTTTTTTTATTTTCATAAAAAGAAAGCATTCTCTTTCACATGATTTCACTTTCAAGATGTACGAAAAGAAAAAAATAATTACTGTAAAGCAGTCAAGCGAATGCGATAACACACTGATTTCTCTCTACAAAAAGTAGGTAACAACTTACCGATGCAACCACCAAGAATTCCAAAAATTTTTACAGAATTTACATAATTAAATCTTCATTTAATTTTGTTACATTTACTAAAACTTTCGTAATAAAATTGTTGAATCTTCATTCAATTTTGGTATTTTTTTTTTGTAATTATTAGTTGCTGAGAAAGTGTGAAAGGTTTCGGTTTTTTTATTCTGATACATCATAGTTAAGGAGAATCATGAGACTAATACATTACTACTTATCACATTATTATACATATTTAATTTTATTTGAATACTGCAAAACTAGCTCTCGAGTATCAAAGGTAAGTAATTTTTCCTTTATTTATTTTTCAATTCAATAAGAAATAAAACTATGAGAGATTAAAAAAATCCTTTATTAAATAACACCTCACGGTACGTAACAACTATAAATATGTACAAAAATGACTAAATCTCCTCATCACTGAGCGTATCCGACTCCTGGAGTGGCTTGTTTAGCTTGGGGCACACTATAATACTGGGGGGCTTGTGAATAAATGCTTTGTGGGGCTGTTTGTGCGGTGTAGGTCTGTGCCGCTTGATAAGTCTGAGCTTGTGGGGCTGAGACGTAGGTTTGTTGTGGCGCTGAGACGTAGGCTTGTTGTGGCGCTGGAGCAGGAGCGAAATACTGTTGAGGGGCTGCGGCGACAATTTTCTGTTGAGGGGCTTGGGCGTACGCGAGTTGGGCCGGTTGAGAATAAGCAAACTTCTGTACTGGAGCTTGGTACGCGACAGGGGCTGGTGCGGGAGCTGCAGCTTTAGCTTGATGAGCCCCAGCTAATTTCCCCACGACTTGTGAAAGCAGCCCCAGGTTGTTGTAAGTCACCACGGGGCTTGAGTACGTGAAAGACGAGACATCGTTGGCTAAGGAGTAGGGCTGCTTGTACGCGACCACCTGCTACAATTGGAAATTTCACTTTCACGGAAACATTTCGGAGGTCAAGGTGAATGTCCAACCTTCTCACTTTCTAATTGTTTGAAATTGCTCTGATTAAGAAGAAAGTGATCGTACCTTAGCAGCGGGCTGAGGGGCGGACTGGTAGGCCACAGTTTGAGGCTGGTATTGCTGGGCCGGGAAGGCGTAGGCCTGGGGCTGCGGCTGATAGTACTGCCCGGGCGCGGCGGCCACTTTGGCCACCGGCTGCTGCACTTTAGAGTAAGCGATGGACGCGGGGGCGGCGTAAGTCTGCTGCCCCGCGGCCACACCGCGCTTCTCTTGCCCGCGTTCACCTCGGGCGACGGCTACCATAGCCAGGAGTGTCAACTGGGAACAAGAATTTTGGGTTAATTTCAAACACTTTGCACGAACACGGATTTACTCACGACGAGGAATTTCATGGTGGGAGAGATGATCTGGTGAACCGTTTCAGTGAGAGTGTGTGCACATGAGGGGTTCTCCACGTTATATATGTTTGACTTCCTGGTGATCTCCTTTCTCCAAACACGCCCTTTTCGACCCCTACTCTCGCCCGAGCATTGTCTCAACAGAAGAGAAAAAAACAACTCTTCCAACTAAAGTCAAAGTCATAATTTACATTTTTCTACTTACTGGACGGCGCTTGCAGAAAGGCAATATAAGAATTTTTCTTCTTATTTTGATCTTTTTGATACATTGATTTCCGTTACGATCATTTTTATAATAGTAAACCAGTATCTAAACTAAGTAAAATCTGTTTTTTATTGGCGGCAATAACCAAGAGCAATCAATTCACATTTCGTTTACCAGGTAACAGTATGTCTTTTGACATTTTAATCAACCGTTCCATGGTAACTAAATCTACAGGGTGAGGCAAATTTCATAAAGTTTTCAAAGTTTCTTTATTTTGACCAAGCTAGAATGATCATTTGTTTCTCTTGAACCTTGAGATATATATAATCAATCGAAAAATGTAATTGGAATAATTTTTTTTTTCTAAATATTGACGATATCTTTCAGCAAAAATGTGATATTGTTGTTCAGACATCTTGTTTTCACTTGTTTCTACATCTTTTTTTCCATAAACTAATTTTGGTCAACAAGTCTCATTTTTTCAGAGATTTACTATCAGTTATGTTATCAACTAGCAACAACCGATATTATATTATCTGAAAGTTATGATTAAAAATAAAAAAATACAATCTATTTATTGATAATAATCTACTATTTTTTATTTCCTATTTGGAAAGTCTGTTGTTTTATATTTACTTATTTATTGCTTATACCTATGATTAATAACATCTAAAAATTAATAAAATTTTTTGTGGAACGGAAAATCATCAAAACCGCAAATTCATAAAATCTGAAAATATTTTTATGGTTGCTGCTTTTCTGTATACTGCTGTCCGTCGATCTCTGAAGTGCGGCAGTTATCTGCTCCATCTCCTACATTGTTGGAAATTTCTTGTTTCCCGTGTTTGCAATAGCAAAATGCAAATTTCCTGTGTCGAAATGAAATCGATATCGTATTTGGGGCCCGACATCAAAGTCGCTCAAATTACACGAATTCTGCATTAAGAAAATCATTTCGAAAAGTATTGAATTATTCGGTGGTCGGAAGCTCTTAATTGTTTTCCTTTTATGCGCACGTTTTAATAGAAGACGCTATAATTGAAATAAGACACTACTGCAATGACATAATGTCGATTCGAGTCGCGAAATTTCACTTTCGACCAGTTTCGCCTCCTGATGATCGGATGAAAAAATGAAACAATAAAACCGGGCGAGGCTAACCGCAAAACCCGTGTCTTGTAATTTTATTTAAATTGATAATTCGATAAAAGCACATGTGGGATTGTGAGATCGGCAATTTGCTTATGTAACAGCATTGTTATATTTTACAACAAATTTTTATTATGGCCTCTCGTAAAAAGCCAAATGTTTTTACAGAGAAATTAAAATTAACGGCAAATGTGCGCGCTGTAATTTGCAATTTTTACCAATTACGGGAGGTAAATCGACAAAATACGGTATTAAAACGATTTCTCAAAAAACAACTTGTGTAACCTCCCAAAAAAGTCAATAAATTTAACCGCAACTACATAATGAGATCTTCGCCGAACTTGGCTTGATTTATAAGAATGCTATTTGAAAACTTCAGTATTTTAACCCACTTTGTAAAGTTTTTCTTAAATCATATTTAAAAAGTCTGAGAGGCTGTGGTTAGCGACTCGAAAGACTATGGTCGAGGTTAGGGGAATGACCGAGATTTAAATATCATACATACTGTGCCAGTTTTGTAAAAAAATGATTTATTTTTTAGAAAAACACTTTTTGTAAAATAATTTTGCAAAAATACAAGTAGGGCTACATCACACAAAAACAAAGGTAAGTTATTTTTTTAACAAATTTGGTTCTGAATTCTAAATTTAATTTTCGTTTTTCTTCTTTATAACACTCATAATTACAGATGTAAAGGTTTGTACTAGTTTTAGGGATCCTGGCGCTTGTCGAATTCAAGTTTTATCATATGACTATAATAAAAAGCAATGCAATATTTGTCCAAAATTGGTCAAGGTATTTGTTAGCAAATTGCACCAGATTTTCAATAATAAAAGTAGTTTTTGAATGTGCAACAAAAATTTATTTGCGGTTTTGTGAATTTGTATTTAAGATCCATGACTGCAAAAACTTAAATGGCTGCAAAAACTTAATTGTTTTAACATTTATCAATCAAATCAAACAAAGTAGCAGTTTTGATTTATTTTGTTGGTGATTTGATGATGTTATTATGTCTTGATGGCAATTTTCAATTTTTTGGTAGAAATGCTGTGGTTGTATAATTTTTGACATTTGCGTTGCAAAACTTGTTGATTTTGCTCGGAATGTTATTTATCGATCGTGTGTCCTCATACCGCCCGCTCTCCGCGAATTATTGCATTTGGGGTAAATATTTCGCTCCGGTTTAGTACACCCGCACTTTTATTTTAAGTTTAATTAAAATTCTTCTCGCTGCGTCCGATTTACATGCACCTGTCGGCATCCAAGCGCTGAAATCGGATCGAAGCGTGAAAAAACTGCGAGCAGATCGCTCAATTTCATCTTTTGATAGTGTGACAATTTCAATACAAAAGCCGAATGCGGTCCGTTTGAAGAATCTTTTGATCATAAGAGAATTTTTAACGCTAAAACAAGATGTGAACTAGACCTTACAAACAAGGTGGGTTGGGTCGAGACAAATCGGAAGTGGAATTCGCTTTCTTTAACGTACTTTTCCAGATGTAATCTTAAAAATTATCGTATTTTATAATGATTTATCGAGAATTAGAAAGCGCCGGACGTGTTTAGTCGCTTTTTTGGATCGTATTATGACAAAATCATACGTAATTTTATTATGGATGCAATTAAGTGAGCGGCTGTGAATCGTGGAAAAAAATGCATTCCGAAACCGGTAACAGAATCGAAAAAAAATTTGATTATAGCGATGTATTATTGGTTGCCTACAACAACATCATTTTTATTCAATTTTTTAGAATAAAAGTGTTAACGCAAAAAAGCTTCTAGGAACTGAAATTCAACACCAATATAATTTTGCAAAATAAAAACAACAAGTTTTATATTTCCAAAAAGGCTTGTGTTGAAGGGTTTTTCGTGGAAACTAGAGTCAATCGAAATAAAAAACAACAATTTTGCATGTGTGATTTTTTCAGTTTTTAATAGAGTTAGTTAGACTCAAAGAGTCAAAGCTGCCAAAATTATATTAGCGGAATAATGAAACTGATTACAAGTTCAATAGAATACAGTAAATGCTTACCTCTACACTGATATGTAGTAATGATTGATGAATATTTTCACCCCAACTTGATTTATATTTATTGTCAACTTTTTTAACATAATTAAAAATAAATATTAGGTTTTTTTTCTGTTAATATGTATTTTAGCTTAATTTCGGTTGTACGAATTGTTTTCTTTTTTTTTTAGAAAAGGTTAAATATTTTTTGCAATGACTTTTAAGCCATTTTGGTGAATCAATAAAATAATAATTTATAATTCTATTGTTGTGTTAGGATAAATACCTACTTATTCCAAAAATCGGAAATAATAGAAGAAAATTTAACTTGAATCGATTTGCAAGTTTTCAAAATTACAAAATACTGGAATTTTTTGTGTTATCTGACTTAAATTACTCTTAAGACTAATGTGGTAAATTTAATTTTCCAAGTACGCCATTAGGAAAAGCGTAGATATATTTCTATTTCCCTGATTTGCACATTTAATAAAGTCGTCAATTGAAAGCAATTTGCAATCCCTGAATTAAATAAATTACTCTGCAATTTTAACTCGGATTTAATTTGTTTGTGAAATTAATCATGCGATTTCGCATGGAGGTAGAGGGAAAATAATAATCCATAGATAGTCACAATTAAATATTTATTAATCACTTGCAAATACACAAAAATCACCAATCGTAGTAACCACCGTAACCGCCATAACCGCCGTAACCGTGATAACCGCTGTAGTACGGATAATAGCCCCCGTAATACCCGTGTCCGACTCCGTAGCTCACTTTAGTAACAACGGGGCTGTAGTACGACGAGTAGTATGGATAGCCGCCACCATAATAGCTCCCATATCCCCCGAGTCCGTAGCCGCCATATCCGTATCCATAACCCACCGCTCCTCTTTTCGTCGTCTTTTTGACTTCTTCTTGAGCCAGGACGGCGACGGTGAAGATGACAAGGAAGACAGTCTAAAAATTGTAATTTTTGACAAATATTTTGTAATGTTTTGACTCACCAAAAGCCTCATGTTTGGTATTGTTGATTGTTGGTTGTGTGTATGTCAGGTGTCGTCATTTTGGCGATATTTATATGGGTAGTGGTTGGAAGAAGGGGCCTGCAACCCCTTCCAAGGTGAGCCGATTGCAAAACACCTAAGGTTAAAAGGAAGTTTTTATTTATTGTTTCGTCGTTGCGTGTCGTTATTGAAATAATTACACATCTCGATGCCCCGTTTTTGACATCCATTAGAGCCCCTCGATCATCTTAATCAACCGATCAATTCCCATCGGGATTAATGGAGTGTGACGGCTTGACGCGTGTCTTATCCATCAAGGTCGCATTTCGGCGTTTTTGTAGAAAAGAAGTGCAAAATTAACATACGGGCGTAATTGACTTGAACACGTCAGTGTCAAATTAGTTTTCTTAAATTGTGAAATAACAGAAGGCTGCGTGCATTATTAGCTCACGTACCCACCGGAACGTGAAATATTGTTTTACGCGAATTTATTGATTTTTCGACATAAATTAATGCGAAACATTAAAATGGTATTAGAGCAATTGTCGCGACGTTTGACATCGACTCAAGACGACAAACGACAAATCCTCAACAATCACATCACAAAGGAAAAATATTTATTGTTACAACGAATGTACTTGGCACACATGTCACTCGAACGCATAAGAGAAAACAAAATCATTTTCCTAAAAATTGGTTAATTGATTTGACCCAAAAAAATATTAATTTTAGTATCTTTATGGCATCGCTTGTTTCAGGAATAAAAATTATTCGTGTGCGATAACAATCTTTGGCTGCAGTGTTACACAACTTTTTGTCTAATCAATAATTAATTATGCATCAAAATTTATTTAAATATTAAAATTTCATAACTATTGTGATTGTGGATTCTATTGAAAGGAGATGTCCTCTCGATGCGACGAAGGATTTTTTATTCTTCTTTTCTCAAGACATTGGGTTTTCAACTTTATCTCTTGTTTTCAATGCCGAACTCTTAATCGTTTCTCATACAATCACATACTTTTTTGTGATTTCTTACATTTGTTTTGCACTCATTTCTAGTACACCGTAGTATAGAGTTTTTAAAACATTAATAAGAGACGATTTTTTTAGTTTTGACGAAGTTCTTCTTGTAGTTGAGACAATCTTCCTTCTCATTTTTCAAATTAAAAGCAGGTAAACATTTACTTGTTAATGTTTAAAGCAGAGTAATTGAATTTTCTTTATATTAACTTAATAATATTACAGCAATTAGGTGTCTTATATAGAATTATTAATTTTTTTATTTACTATGTAGAAGACTTAAACAACAGCAAAAATTTGACTTATTTTATTTTATCGCATTTCTTTGCTATTATCTTATTGCATTGTTTGACATTGGCAAGTAAATAATAAACTCAAATAGAGTGGAATTTTTTAAGAGAGCTTTGTCACAGAAATATACAAATTTCTTTTACTACATACTTAATTTGTTTTGTTATTAAATAAATAAAATTTATGAAAATAAAAGTTTGGTGTGTCGGGTTTAAATTGTGTTTGTGTTTATCATTCCTATACCAAGAAGATTCAACAAGAAGTTAAATAAAATCTAATTTATCACAATTTTATACAGGAATACAGCTGAGTTTCAATTTTTTCAATTTCAACATTTATCATCAAAATTATTCATTTTTGTATACATACAGGATGTTTCACATAACTTTACGAGGCTTGCGCCTAATGTACGCACCCAAATATACAAATGTCACAGAACACTGGATACAAAAAACACAGATTTAATTATTTAATTTTTGGAAACCCATGACAGTAGTTGTCAAACTAATCACTGTATCATTAATAGTCATTAATAGTCATAAACTGCAGTTTTTCAGAAACAATTATCATTTATTCTATCAAGAGACGGCATGAATATGATTCTAGTTTACCTATCTTAATCACTAACTAACTAAAAACGTTGTAATTATTTAAAGGGTGAACAAATTAGAGAAAATTATTCAATTTTTCAAAATTTGTAATCGAGTTCGTATCGGAATATGTATTGCATCTTACAGGCGCAGGCCTCGTAAAATTACGTGAAACACCCTGTATTTATTTTATTCCACTGCAATAACGATTTAGTGTAGTTTTTTTTTAATTCTACATATTACGGTTTTTCTTATTACCTACCTATTATATTATCTATCACATTGCAAATACCTACATTTTACCACCACCATGTGTGTTAAAAAATCCTTTAAATTTGTACAACGTCGTAACGATTTTTTACACTTGAAAAAGCCGAAACAAAATTTTGTAGAGTAATTTTTTTATGTAAATATATTTAAATTTTTTTTTTTAAATGTAATCATTATTAAAATTCGTAATAATATCTTTGTGTGAATCTTATTTGCTTGGTTTATCTAATGTAGGACTCGACTTTCATTTATCAATCAAGAATCTGCATTAAAAATAGTTGAAAGTACATTCACAGATTGATGTTACACGTGTCAGTACATTTTTTCGAAATTATTTTATTCGAATCACGACCAGATTTTTTTAATTTCAGTTATCCACACAAATGATAAATTTTTAAGTAGAACTGTAATTCGAGCAAATTAACAATGTTCGGTTATATATCGTTTCATATAAATAATTAAAACCCACGTTTCAATTACAAAAGAAAAATAATTTTTGTGTTTGCTCGAGAATCCCGGATCTTGCAAAAAACGAAGAAAGTAGCAATTAATTATTCACGAATCGTCAAAACCTCCAAATTCTCCTTTCATTAGATAGCACCGAAAAGCTGCCTCCAAATTTACCTTTATTTATTCTATTGTTGCTCTGTTTGCTTCATTTAAGTAAAAACATTCGTTTGTTTATGGTAGCTACCTGAATAAACAGCGTCTGAAACATCCAAGTGTCTCTTTATTAGAAATCTCCTTATCCTACATTTAAACAAACAAAGTCTTAAAAATTAAAAACGACATGGAAGCCGTGCCCTGCGCCGCGCCCTCCGCTATCCAAGCCGATCCCAAAGCCCCCTATGTGCTCCCTGTAGTGGCTGTAGGGATGCACAAACAGCACATGGGGTATGAAGACGTGTTGCAGATGCGCCGGAATGAACGAATGGTGACGCACGTGCCCCGGGACCCACTTGGTGTGAGCCCCCTCAACCCGGCGCGTGAAGTTGCCCACGTGGGGCTTCTCGGTGAATGTCACCAGCCCCACTTGCAGGGGCGACCGTTTCAGCGTCTCTCCACTGACGAGGAACAACAACAAAACCTGGAAACACTGTTATTAGTACCGATAATTAATGTTAATGAGACACGATGGGATCCGTGTAATTAGTTTCATAATTTGATGTTGCACAACAATGGAAGGTCTACGATTTTACCTACTTTACGAAAAATACAAAAGCGCCGTTGTGGTTCTAGCAATGACAATTATGAAACGTTTTAAACCAATTTCGAACAAAGCCGCGTTGCAAAGGTCGAGGGCAATTAGGTCACGGATTTGACCCCTTGTCAATTTCTTCCATTACTCTAATTAGAATTAATGGTAATAAGAGATTACCTGAACCAAAAGCGAACGCATATTGCAAACTGTGCCACTTTCTTTAATCGAATCTGACGCCAACTGAATTATCGCAAATATCTATGCAAATCCGACCAGATTCGAGCCCACATCAATCGTAGCTGCAACAATTCCTCAACACCAAATACCACATTTAAATAATTTATCTCTTTTTTTTTTCAATCATCTTATTTAAATTTACCGCAGGAAAGGCGCCAATCTAACAACACTAAAAACCCTAGATATTCAAGTGACAACTTTCGAGGTTATGTGTGTTCATAATTCAAGTTTTTAATTGTTACATAATTTTAATTAGGTAAATTGATTGAGGGAATGTTGGGCATCGCTAATTAGATAATTTATAGCACAAAATGAATTTCATAACGCAAGCATTTCGACGAGTTGCACAATCTTCAGCTCGTCTGATAGCCAATGTACCCCTAAAAAATATACAAATGGAACCCCTTGGTGATATTACCAGCAGGTTGTCGTGCTTAACAATACAAGGTAAGCAAAAACCATATTGTAATATTATATTTCATGTGCAGATTAAATTTTTGTTAATTGTGGGTAGGCAACCAATTATACTCTAAAACGTTTTACAATCGAATTGCTGAGTTGTTTTTTGGAAGCCCACAAGGCTTAAATACGTAATTATTAAACTGTTAAATGTGGATGATCACAATTATCAAAAAGAAGAGTGTATAGGACTAGAAATAATTACGGAAAGTTATTGTCTTTGAAGGATTGCTTTGTAGAATCAATAGTGAAAAGAGTGTAAACAATGCACAGTTAATCACTTTTCTAATGAATATTTACGTAAAAAAAATTCAAGGGTACAAAACAACCAATTACTTAATCAGTTTCCTAATTGTACAAATAATTCAATAATTTGTAATAAATTAACCAATTATGTCGAATTACTAATTATGGTATTTTTGCGCAACTATGTTTTAACTTGAGAATTAGAAAAACAAGAAAGTGATAATGAACTCTAAATTAAGGATAACAAATACTGCGTGACATTATTGGTCGTGGTTTCAGATACACTATTGACAGTCATATTTCTTACAAAGAAAAAAAATCGTCATTGACTAATTAATAAATTGTATGCAGGTTTACTTCTCTTATTACATACTTAATATTGTTATAAAAATAATAGAAGTATGTTTTATTTGTTTTCGACGATAGTTTGATTTGAAAGTGTTAAATATATAAATTGGATTTGTTAATGTTTTCTTGGTGATAAATGAAACTTGGACAATTCGATTAAAGTTGGAATTTTTATTCCTAATCGATGAAATCCAGTGGAAGGTTTTAGTGTCCCCATCCCTGCAAACTAAGTCATTGAAACCGTCTATTCTGTCGTCTCATGTCGGTTTTAACAGTTCGTGAGTCCCATCATTGTCCCTTTTATCCGTCGTCTAACGAGAAAACTTCGAAGCGACTTACATAACGTGTGTGGCCGAAATGACCAGTGACCAGTGGCCACGACAAATCTTAATCCCCATTGGCATATTTCCCATTTCCTAGTGTAATACAGCGTGAATGTGAGCAATGCATTGTGGTTTCTGCTATTCATCTGTCAATGGACAATGTCCGAGATGCGTCACCTGCCACTGGGGCCCAAAGGGTGAAGTGTGGGAGGATTAATATGTGGGCCGGACTCCACAAATTGAACCAAATTGAAAAAACTAAAGCCCTTTTTAAAAATTGATAATCTGCATTGTCTTTAGAAAACAGAATTATCCATTAGATTGTATTCTTTTCTTGAATTTGGCATAGAAATAAATATGATACAATATTTTTTTTCAAGTTAGAACATTATTAGGACTGAAACACTGAAGAGTTGTACAGGAAATAGAAATATGCTTGAAATAATAAGAATAATGTCAGTAGTCCGTCTCTGTACGAGATCCTAATCAGTTGGATTTTGCTTATTGCATTTGACCAGTTGGCAGATATGTCATCTTCGTTCAGCTGCAAGAGATAAGGCATTCAATTATGATTTTTCTATTTCCAGAGCGATGTGTGTCCTTGTACAGGATGCACAGAACCGGACCGCACATTAAGAAACGGAAACCTCGGCAGCCGCTCGACGGCAACCCATTTATGAAAGGCGTAGTCCTGAAAACGTTAATCAAAAAACCGAAAAAACCGAATTCCGCCAACCGGAAATGTGTGTTGGTTCGGTTATCCAACGGCAAGGAAATGGTCGCTTATATCCCAGGGATCGGACATAATTTGCAGGAACATAATATCGTTTTATGTCGGGTGGGGAGAGTGCAGGATTGTCCGGGAGTTAAGATAAAATGCGTGAGAGGAAAATATGATTTAGGACATGTAATTAAAAAATGAAAATAAACAGATGTAGTCAAGAGTGTGTTTGTGAATTTAAATAAACGGTTTATAAGCGAGGAGTTGTATTTTTGTTGATGAATTTTTTTGGTTAATGTGAGGAAAAATGGCTCTGGGTTGAATAATAAGTGCCGAGGTATAAACAGAGACGGGTGTAGAATAAATAAACGAAAAAATTATACAATTTGTTGCCTTTTTTAATCGTATTTACATAACACTTCATGTCCCAAAGCAAAGTACCATGTTAGAGACGGACTCACAATTTTTGTTCTACATACAGGGTGTTTACAGTCTCGGAGTTTAAAATTGACCTAGTAATAGAAGAGTACAGAAATACTGTAACCGAGAAAAAAACCTCACACATTTGTTATTATTAAGAATGTTATTTAACTCCAAAATATTGGTACACGGTTTGAGAGTCACTAGAATTATTTCCTTGTTCAGATAAAATTGTAGTGTCGCAACAAATAAAAAAATATAGTATCCGTGACAATGAAAGAGAAAAATCACTTCATAGTTTTGACACTGTCATTATTTGATTTGCTTTTGCGTTAGTTATTATCAAAATTCGAAGACCTTCCAGCGAAATGGTTTGATTCGTTTTTCTTAATTTTTTTCCAAATTTATGAATATAAAATATTAAAATAACAAATTGGTTATCGTGATTATGATTTACGCTGAAACACAAGTAATGATACTAACGGTCATTGTTCCAGCCGAAGCAGCAGTTCTCAAACAAATAATATAAAATGAATTATTTCCTTTCACAACTTGAATTTTTGTTTTATATAGCGTATTAGTTTTCTTCTACAATAAATATCATCTCATTTAAATTTCAACCTCAAGACCGTAAACACCCTGTATTTACAATGTTTTCACCAAAATTTACGTAAAAATGCCAAATTTAGGTATCTATTTTTACATCAGAAAAATCTTATTTCAAACTATGTATTTCTTTGTCACTTCGAAAGATTTTTAACCAAGCTCATAAATTATTATTTCCTATAATTTGGAAATTCGTAACAAAGTATGGATGTTTTCTATTCACAAAATTATATTGCATTAGATCTAGATAAGTAATGTAGGTAATTTTTAGGTAACAGTTAACTAGGGTACCAAAACAAGGATTTAGGACCGCTTTCCAAAATGAATTAAAATGTAATTCACAATTTACACACTGAATTTAATTACGAATTAAAGTTTAATTGCAAATAATTGTTTTTTAAATCAGACTTTTCCAAAAAGTTAAGTTATTTTAATTATTGATAAAACTTTCTACATTTTCCTTTTTACATTGTATGAATATTTTTTTTAATTCTATAACTTTTGAGAACACTTAAACAATTTCTGTTTAGCTGCTTTTGTCAAATGTTATTGTAAATCCATTTTTAAACAGAGATAGATTTATTTAAAATTTTATTAGACGAATACAGAGAGGACATTGTCAAAGTCGAAAGTTTAATACCAAAAAAATAAGGAACAAATTAAATGCACAGTATATTATTTAAACGACAATTATGTTTGATCAGTAAAAATAGTAAATTCACAGTAAAGACAAGTCTAGCAAAATTAATTAATTTAATATTTACAGATTTATAAACAAAATGTTTCCGAGAAAAATCGAAATATCGCAAATCGTTCAAAAACAAAATCGTGGTATCAGGAACACCAGCAGTGTAAACATCAGTGGCGTACGCTGATTAGACTGACTACCATTTGTGCACAGTTTACAGCTCTTGCTAAAATCATTCTTGCGCAGGGGTCCTTACTAATACATATACCACCCTTCAATAATAATAAGTATTCAGTAATATAAAAGTAAGTACCAATAATAAATAACATTCTTGTGCAGGGGCCAACATTGTTATGTGACCAAGACTGAAAATTCTTTAAATTTTTTGTTGTTTTAGTAATTTTGATTAAAGTTACTGAGCGTTTATTATTTTTACAGTGCAAATTGGATTTTTTTACTGAATAAATTTTAATAAAATACTGTGCTTGCTTTACATAGCATTTATTGTTTTTATTATGCAAAATATTATATTACGCTGATCATTTTTAATTTTTTACAGTGCAAAAATTAATTAAATACTGCTCATTTATCATTTTATACTGATCAAAATTGAATTATTTACTGATCGCTTTATTAGTACCCAAAAAAAAACAGACATACGGTAGTTTAGTTAGGATAGTGAGAATAAAATTAAGAATTTTTATTACCTTTTATTCCCTATATGCTTGTATAGCAAAAACAAGGTATGTTACTCGGGAATAAAATGGTACTACAATTTCGACTTTATAAAATAAAAAATCTACCTCGATATAATTTAAATTAAAAAATTGTTTTCTTCGCGATAAATCTAACGAATTTGCGTTTGTTTACCCCAGTTCTGTATTCGATAATTGTGAAAATAGTCCCAAACCGTAACCTAAACATTAGCATAAACTAACTGTAAGTCCCGTTGCTTTTGCCTAACTTCCCGCAATCAAAAAATAAAAAACGGTGCCTTTTGCCGACGCCGACCTGTCCTTTATTACTCTCCCGATCCTTAAATATTCAAGTCATTCATCTCCAGCTAACGGTTCCTTTGCAAATCCATAGCGGAAGACCTTGGCTACCCTTTGCGGTTTGCTACCGTAGGTAAAATTTTATCGCCCCCTAATAAACGGTGAAATGTACCGTTTCGGGTGATATTTTTGCAAAAAATCACCTAAACCCATTGGTTACGGCAGATGTTTCCTATGTAGGTCAAGCGCTTTCAGTTTATTTGCGATAGAGATTAAAATATTGTGTCCGGCATACAGTTATGTCTGACAGAGACATCCATCATAACTCGACAAAGGAAGCAAGGAAAGGCTAGTTTTAGTGTATTCACGTCAAAAACCCTTTAATAATGCGACTATTTGTAAAGGCAAGCGAACGATGACAAGTGACAAGTAGGTAGAGGTCCCACGCAACAACAAGAGCTTTCTTTCTTTCTTAGGCTTGTGATCGGCTAATCGATCAATTTTTAAGATTTTTGATTAACTTCACACTAAATTTATACCGTATTAAAGCAGATTTATCGGAGCAACCCTTAAACGCATGCCACCTGGAGTTGGACAGTTAAATTTCAGACCCCCCGTTGACTTGTTTGCGAATTTCTCTATTTTTTGTTCTACCGTTATGTTTTTTTCAAGGACGAGATTTATTGCCACAGTAAAATCAAGGGAGAAAGCTGCTTTTTTACATAAAATTGCAGAAAATTCCGACTTTCTCAAGAAAGTCCCCAAATTGTCTAAGAGGCTAAGAATAAGGGATTATAGTTTTATCGCTGACGTTGCTTCTAATGTTGTTTGTCTCATTAAATTAATTAATTTTTCACCGAATTCGACTTAGAGGAATCGGGTGGTAAACAGACTTCGGTGAGAACCAATTGCCGCAACTAAGACAATTCAGTTAGATTAAGATCAGGTCGCACTGGTGGCACATACCTTGAAACTTTCAATTTTGCGTCAAAATCGTATTAATCCTAATAGTTTTCTAATAGAGTCGTTACGTAAATGAGAATTCGCTTAATTTAGTAGCGAGTTCACACATGTGTTGAAGCTCGCACATGTCGAGATTTGCGGAAGCGGAAGGGTTATATTCAATATCTTCCTATTTGTATAGGGGGTGGTTGAGAGCGGGTGAGTCACAATGACGAAGGGTTGACATAGATTTGCCAATTTTGACCGAATTTACGTTCGACTACCCCCTTCGGTTTTACGATTCTAACGGCACTTTTGCGAACTGTTATAAATCATGGACTTTTCAGAAGTTAGACGGTTATACATCCTTTACCCACATTTTATGCAAATTTTTAGAGAAAGTTTCCCAGAAGGTGATGGCTAAAGGTTTAAATCCTGGGAGAAATGTTGAAGGGTGAAGGCGGACAAGGGTTGCGTTACGCAAATGAGGAAAGAAATAGACAAAATTTTCCCTTATTTCACCGAAAAATTCAAGGCAAGCAGTGTTTCCTTATCTATTTTCTCACGCCTAAATCAGTAGAAATAAATACGATATGAATGTTTGTGTACAAGCTATTATCTTGAATCTAAAGTTGAATAAAGGAACGTGTTTTTTATTTAAAAGTGCAAAACTTTTTTGGAGACTTTATTCTTCTACAAAAATCAACAGTTAATAAATGATTTGCCTAATTCGGTTCTTGAAGTTTAGTTTTCGAATTAAAATTATCTCATCTAAAAGTTCGCAGTATCTCAGTTTTTATTAAAGCTAAAATTTTTTAATTTATTTGGACTCGAGACAGGATTGAACTCTTTTTCGCTACTTTAATAACGGAGAGACCGTTTTGTGTTAAACAAACTTAATTAAATCTGGGATTCTATTTGTTTCTTGTTCATTGGTATAAAATTTTCTTAAATGTCAAATATCTTTTCCCAAATATTTATTCATATAAATTTCACACTAAAAGACCGAATAATCTTTTGGTATTCAGATTACTAAACTTACAAAACGAACATTTTTAGACAATATTATTCAAAAGGGGTGTTTTCCAAGTCTGAATTATTCTTTTTCCAAGAATCCCGGTGCCCTTCGTTTTACCACAGATAATCCTTTCTATCAGCAGTTGACTTTGAACTATTTTTTCCTGAATTATAAGGAAATACGAGTAAATTAATGAATTATTCTAAAATTTCTAATTTGTATAAAATTGGGGAAACTAGAAAAAATCGAAAATTGCAAAATTAGTCGTAAAAACCACCCCGAATTTGCACTACACCCCACCACTTTCGCAACCTTGACCATGCAATTGGCAAGGGTGGGGACCAGCGCAAATTTGGAAAAGGGTCTCCATTGGTCACTTTCGAGTCGCCTAAGGACTCTTATAAATTCAGCACTTATCATTTTGACTTATTTCTAAACTTGGAGCGTACAGTAACGTTCCAAATTTTTTTGGTGTTTTTTGATTCGAGATTAGGATTATTTCTTCGGTAAGTGCAAAAAAATTGTTTTTTTTTCAAGTGTATTAGTTAAAAATTAGTTTTCGAAATGGAGACCCCCGGCGAGGTGTTGGATTTGTGCGTCCGCAAGCGCCCTCACTCCCCGGAGCCCTACCCTCCTAGATGCCCCCCGATCTATGAGCCATCGTGCCAATACAGCCCCGTCTCCAACAGCGACTCGGAAAATTCGGAAGTCTCCAGTAATTCCTACACGCCGAAAATAAAGACCTGTCGCCCCTTCAAAGCCTACATCAAGGACCCCCTTACTCTCGCTCAGGGCTTAGTGAGCACGGAAATGCTATTGAAAAAGGATTCCTCCGAGGCGTTCAACGAATTCCGAACGAAAATCTTGGCACAAGTGCACGGGACCAACAACGGAACTAATAAAAACATGCGCAGGTTATCCACGACGACACAAAATAAAAACGATGATCCCAGTTATTGGGAGAAACGGCGGAAAAATAACGAAGCGGCGAAAAGATCCAGAGATGCCAGAAGAGCTAAAGAGGATGAGATTGCCATCAGGTGCGCCTTTCTCGAACGGGAAAACTGTCATCTGAAATTCGTCACGGATACGCTCAAGAAGGAGCTGGAGAAGCTACAGAAAATCGTCTATTTGAGGGATTATCATAATATGTAACGGAGGGTTGTTTACGGAGGATAACTTGAATGTGATTTTATTCTTGTCAGAGGATTCGAAATCGCGCGTGTGCGAAGTAGAGTGAGGTTTTTAAATTATTTTTTTATGTATTTATGTATGTATGGAAATTTTTTGTATATTTTTGTATGGAGCTACATTATAACTATTATAAACGAATAAAGAGATTTTATATGATTATAAATATGAAAATATCACATTTATTGAGTTACTGGAAATGTCTAATAACCTTTGACATTATTTGAGAAAGTTTCTACTCCAGAAAAAGTCGGCAATTAGAACAAAAACAAAACAATCATTATTATATTAAAAATATATTGCACCTATATGGATGTACAGGCTGGTTTTGAATTAAAAGAAAAAATTTCACAGAAACTTCGATCATGAACAAAAAAATCTCAATCGCACCGTAATTTATAGGGGGATTAAACAATATTACAGAAATTATTTTTTTTTCTAAAAATAAGATTTATAAGTATTAAATATTTGTCTAATCAATAACTAAGAAGAAATACAACATTCTGCTAACTCTTGTAAAAACTTGAAAAAAAAAGTTATTTGAAATACAAAATAAACACAAACTTTATACATAACAGGATGAGAAATAAAAAAACATACTAAAATATGTAATAGTCACATTCAAACGATATCATTATTTTTATGAAACGTTTTTAATAGAATATTTTTGTTAAAAAATTAATGTAAAATTATAGTTACAAATAATAAACGGCCCCCACTAACCTTACAAACTGGGTGTATTATTTTCAAGGTACATTTTCAAAAATCACAGATTTCAAACTTGATTTGCTCAATTTAACTTCCTTTTTACTAATAAGGAATATTTTCTTCAGTTAACAAAAAGTGATGGTGTTAATGATTTTTAGAGTTTACACCTTCTGGTAAGTGCTAACATGATTTTAAAAGGTGAACAGAAACTGCCAGTTTTTTCTCTTTTCAATTATGGATGTTATAGTGGCCCTAAATTTATCACTTATATCGAGTTGTAATCTAGATACAGGGTAATTTTAAAGTATGTGCAAACAGAGCTCATAAGAAGTCAAAATAACTCAACTTGCCTTATCCGAATGTTTAGAGTTCGTAAGATATAGAGGGTTTTGTTCGCCGAATTTGGGGCACCAACTCAAATTATAAAATGTATTACAGTGTTTTATTAAAATAATTGGTAAAAGCAGACACAGAAAAAAGTATCCTCATATAAAAAATAACAACACGGCAAAAATTTTGCAACCATTTTTTTTGTTGAAGATAGCATCGGATTTCATTATCTCAAATGTAACCGACTATTAACAATGTAAACTTTGGGATAAAGAACTCAAAACATTCAAACTTTATACAGGGTGCGCCAGAACTCGCGCCCAAGAGAAAATTTTCAAGTAAGGTAAGATACCAGGAACATGAAAAAAAATGTTTTTAATTTTAGGCAATTTAAAAATTAAATTAAATTAGGCAGTGGAAAGAATAGAACATTTTTATTCATTTTATCTAAAGTAAGCCAACGATTGATAACGAAAAACTGTTCAACTTTGAGCAAAAAAGTATTATAACATCTTTAAAAGTAATGAAATTATGACTTAGGGCGTTTTTTATAATATAGTCTCTATATGTAATTCCATAAAAATTACAAAAACCGAAAGTGAGATTAGTTGTACATAACGCACGTTTTAGATTTTTATTTTTATGTCAATTGAATGACAAGTAGTCCAAAATTCTGTATCCGCAATTGTAGTATTGAAACTGAAAAAAATCTTTGCATATACATATCTCAGAAACTGTAAACATTCGGATAAGGCAAGTTTAGTGATTTTGACTTCTTTTGAGCTTTACTACACTGGCGGACACGGAATTTTGGACGATTTATCATTCGACTGACATAAAAATGTAAAATGGGCCTTAGGCAGCTAACTTCATTTTCGGTAGAAAAAAAAATGACAACAAACCAAAATAATTTGTTGAACTTATATAAAAACAACAATCGACGCCAAAAATGAATTTCAACAAAAACTTTCAAGTTTTAGTTTCAAACGTCAACCATAATGACTTTCATAAATTTGATGTCCAAAATTCCGTGTCCGCCACTTATCACCTGTTAAAATATTTACACATTCTTTAAAATCACCCGGTATTTTACTTTACTTCAAAAAATGTATTTGCGATGTTACCATATTTTACTTAGGTGTGAAAGGAAATTTTAAATGAACTTTTAATGACGTCGTAATTAATTTGTTTTTTAAACTATTTAGCTGGAGTTTGCAAACTATGACATATACGTCGTGTCATTTCAGTAGCCATTTTGTCACTTTTCGTAAGTTTTTTTCCGAAATAGTGTAGTATTTTGGCTTCAAATTTATCAGTAGGGTCAATTCACAGATTCTTCTTTTACACAGAAAAATGGGTTTGTAACATATTTTAAACTCAAAAAACAAGTTACGACGTTGCCAGTGTGGCGATTGAAATGGCACGAGGTTTACATGGAAGTATAAAATATAAAAATAGAAAGTTAAATAGTATATTATAATACTAGTTTATAAGCAAGCCTTCAAAACAATGCTGCAACACTACAACCCTGATACAATAAATAATACATACAACTTGACATGATAATGCTCAAGAAAATATATTTAAAAAGTTTGATATAAATCAACTCGTTACACATGATAAAAGTTGGGTAATAAAACCTTCTTTGCATTGTAGTAGGCGTTCCTTTTACCTGTAATCTAAGTTAATCCTTGGGTCATAAAGACCGCTTACTAACCAGTAGTCTAAGTGGCTTAAAATTTCGCAGAAGGTCTATTAATTTTAGATAACAAATTCTTGGAAGAGCAATGTGTAAGACCATAAGAAAAAAATAATTTCAGTCTATTGTTTTCTAAACTTTAGAACTTCAATATCACTCATTTGTTTATATTTAGAGTATTCTTTTGTTATTGCGCCCGTATATTTTTTAAGAATTTGTTTCATAAGTTGGTCTCTAAGACTTAATAAGTACACAACTAATTGCGCTGATTTAATTTTGTCACTTTTTAGTAAAGGCCTTTTGCACCAAGATTTATCATTTATGGTGTCCTGTAATCAGAAAAGTGTGTCATTAATAATACCTACGTTATGTAATAATTACAAACCAAAACTGCTGATAACAATGCCGCTGGAAAATTGAAGTGATAAGTTAGACATTCACTTATATTCCGTTTAATTTCAACATCGTCTTTTTCTTTTGATAACATAGTATCAACGACCTAAAAAAAACGTGTTAATTCGGGATGGACAAAAATAAGTTTAAATACTTGTGTATCAAAAACATTTTTCATTTCTACTCCATACTTGTGATACAAGCAATCAAACAAAGCGCCCCCATCGTGGACAACTTTACATATAAAATCCGACTCTAAAACCTCCCCTAATCCACTTAATTTCCCCAAACACAACAAATCAAAGATGAAAACTTGTTTAAAATCCGACATCACTAAGACACTCAACGGTTTGCTTCTTACATAATTATTTCCTAATCCAGCTACTGCCACGGATTCCCGATTGTTTAAGACTTCAACCGCATTGTCAAAGTGTGTTCCAAACGTGTCAATGAACACAAAATCAAAAGTAACTTGTCTCAAACGAGCATATTCGTCTGGGTGCATGTTGATTTTTTTCGATGTGACTAGAGAGTCCTCTGTGGCAGCAGGCATGTTATCGGAAGTGGAGGCAGATTCGGTGTCAGAAATAAGCACAATTTTCACAACTTCGTTACGGTAGAAAGTCATATTGCCCTCATATTCAGTGTTGGTGCTGTGGCAGCTAATGGAATTGAGGTTAACACTTTTGGCCGAGATATATTCAATGGTACCGCTGTAAACTTCAGAAGAACGGTTTTCAAGAAGGACACGGTCACCCGGCTTGAGATGGACGGTCATCTTGGGGCACAATAAGTAAAAATACAAACAAGAAAAAAGTAAGGTTATGGCAGTGGCAACTACTGAAGTCCGAGAATTGGTGCATGGGAAAAGATCCTACAATCGAGAAATTACAGTTGACCAGATAAAGACTATAATTATTTTATTAAATCTGTTACAGTGACTGTTAATCGTGTTTATTAAATACGGATTTTGTTAAAATTGTATAAATAATTAACAGGGGGAATAGTTTCGTGTGGTATTTTCGTTACTTTTTATTGAAATATTTGATTGTTTTATTCGCACTTGACAGAATTTGTGAATTGTGACGATGGGAATTTTAGGCTGGTAAAAAAGGTTGTGATTATTTCAAATAAGTTTATGTGATTACATTTCCTGTAAATAGTCAGACAAATACAGCTACTCCTCCTTAGATGGCGCTGGTACATGTTATATATTTAGTTGCCTATATTAGAAGAAAAATGTTGCGATTTAAGCCATACTAGCCAGTCATGAACGTGTCGGAAAAGCCATTTATGATAATTTTTATCATTAGCAATTCGTATTAATAATTACGAACATGATTATGGAGGTGTGTTTGCGTTTTTTGCTTATCTGATAGATTAAACTGGCAAAAATGTAAATGTACTGTTGGTATAATTTATTGTAATGTATCAAGTGAATCATTTTTAGAAACAATTAACATGTTGAAAACCTTGGACTTCGCGTTTTATTTTAAATTTATTTTTCAAAAGAGGATGTATAGCAATGTCACGATAAATTACTCATATCATAATTCGTTTCGTATTTCCTTTGTGAAAATGATTACGATACAGTAACGCTTGCGCTCGCTTGTTTCCCAAATCATCGTATTAATCATTCTGTAATAAAATCGCCCTCATTTCCTTCAAAATTCTGTAAAAAACATATGGGAAACCGCCAACAAGTGGCTTTCGCATTGAAATTCATAGAGCATTTGGTTGTGTTTATTTTGTAATCGGAGGGGTTTGTACCCGCATAAGGGGTTGAAGCCCGTATGGGGCCGTATGGCGGAGGGATGGTCGTGTGATTTTCCCCGCACGCGACCCTCTGATTCCATAAGTGACCAATTATTCATCTCAATTATTTGAAGGTGATACCCGTATACCGGTTATTACGGGCGAATTATCAGGGGGTGAGATAAGTCCGTGGCATATGTCATCGCAGAGGGGCTATTAAGCATTCGAGGGTTAAAAAAATCAATTGCCTGAGATTCTGGACGCTCCCAACAGCGGTTTTTATCAGCTGCTGTTATCGGAATTCTAGAAATAAACTTGTTTTTCAAGCTAATAACGCTGTTTTAGAATATCGAATTTATTTGTGGAGTGGTCTCAGTTTACATTTCATACAGAACGACCGCTTTTTATCCAATGGTGAATCACGAAACCCACCACGAGGAGTCATTCCGAGTGTGATTCAATGTTTTTTCTTTGGTTCTAATACACCATTTAAGTAATCAGTTAAATGATTTGAAATTAATTTTCTTTGTTTGAAATTTCATTTTGTTGGCGAATCTCGTCTAGGTGTGTCTGGAAAACAAAAAAAGCCGCCACGATTTATTTTAAGATGGCTATCATGAATAAGCATTTTAGAACGACCCTGACCAAGAATAAGCCGCGAAAATATCACAATAAAGAACCTGTACATTACCAACAAAACGACGCCAATTCGCAAAAATAACACGCGAGAGTTTATTTAAGAATGTACAAAGAAACGTGAGGAATTTTAACGAATAACAAAAATGACAAACGATAAATAACTGGTTTGGATTTAAAAACATGCAAGTCTTCCTGGTTTGCAAATAATTAAATGTGATTTTCACGCGCCGTTAAATCGGCCGCTGTGGGAGGGCGCTGATAATCCCTTTTCCGGTTGAAAGGAGGAAACGTGGCGGACCTTTCCGGTATTTATTTCCTGCGATTTTTTCCAACTGCGTATTTGTTTTTGATTTTCTCCAAGTTTCAACCAGCCTCCGTCATTAAAAGCGATATAACACGGCCACAACAACAATAAAAAATGTGTTTGATTGTTTGAAAAATCACTCAGAATTACGTTATTTTTATTCATATCGCGACACGCTCGAAACGAGCTCATTATCCAAAGGTCAAAAAATATTTTTCGCTCCTCGTTGAATCGAATTGATTTTTAACTAATGGTGAAAAATTATGGTTACGCAACGTTAAGAACAAAGCCCACATTACTTTCGATTCGAGTTGCTTCGTCTCTCATCGCATTTCACTTTTGACGGTGAAAGTGATCAACAAGAGGAAAAAGAGTGAAACCGACGGTACGACCGTGACCTAGTGCACGACTCGTGGGACCTGCAGAAGTCTTCTTCGGTGTTGATGCGCCGTCGAGCGCGACTTCCACGAGCTGTGACGGCGCACCCACGCCCTGTTATTAAACAGCAGCGGCTAGTCTTGCGTTAAATCATACGAAAGAATTAATTGTAGAGACGAGGGATCGGTTTTCGACGTCCGACAACATTTTTAACTAACTTGTGAGGTTTCAAAGGCAGATTGCGTGACCAGTGGTGGAGAGATGAACCATTTTGAGAAGAAATCCATCGTGGAAAAATTCTCAAAGAAAGAGGAATTGCTTTCCGTGGCTTGCTAGTATTAGCACTGTCAAAAGAAGAAAAAAAAAAAGAAACAAGACAAATTTTAATTAGTTACCCACGTATTCGAAAGAACTTTTTTTTTAATAAACCAGCTATTGGAAGCTAAACATACTTCATTGAGGGGCAGACATTTGCCCTAAAATTTAGATAAAACTTTTAAAATGAATTCTTAGCGATTCGTTAATAAATTATGGGCGAACTGGCTCCAAGACTTTCGTCTTGACGGGTTTGGTGCTCGGCTGTGTAAAGGTCTAAACTTTTCTTATCTCCTTTCTCTGAATCAGCCGTTCATCCAGTAAACGCAAACAGCCTTGGGCGGAAAGGGCCTCTTACCCCTCGCCTCATCACCCATAAACTTAATCTTTTCGACTCGTCAGCGCAACCAGAGCTGAGTCTTCTATTACGAAACCTTGTTACACATTACCATAGAATGAATTTGGATATTCGTGGTATACCAGATAATGCACATGTGTGGAAATTGCTATTTTTCCATCACTTTTTCGTCCAAATTCATTGCTGCAAGAACCGTTCTGGTTGCGTTTGATCGAGTGAAACCGTCGACAAAAATCCCGATCGGTTGCATTTCTCGTTTTAATTACCTCCATCGAGTTAATTTAATTTCATATTAGCTGCATATTTTACTGCACGGTTTTCGTCATTATCTCGGCTTTCTGTAGGGTGTGTGTGTGTGGAAAGAGTTGCTCGCCTTGAGACAGAAAGGCGTTTCGAAGTAGTGAAATCGCGAATGATGGGACACTAATAAATGGTACGATCGCGTGTCGTTTCCTATTTCCGGAAAAATGCGACCAGATTTCGACATGTTTGGATTAGTTAATTGACGAAAAATTTGCTTGAAGAGCGGGAGGAAAACGCAGAGTCGTCAGGTGGATCGTGACTTAAATAATGTCGTTAAAACATCTCCAATTTGGGTCATGACAATGAGAATCTTAATAGCTTGTTTCAAAATTTATTTGAATATCAATAGGTTAAAGTGGTTTCGACACGAAGACGATAAACAAAGCAAGGGTAAAAATTTTGTAATTTTTTTTTGAAAAATTGAGCGATATTGGTGGAATTTTATCGACGAAGGTTGATATTTGTTAAACGAGGTGATAACAAAAACAAAATTACTACGCAAATACAAGCTACATTCGAGCAAGTAAGATACTTTTTAAAGAAAATTAATTTGTAGGTATCATTAGTTTAAAATAAGCAAAAGATTTAAAATTTGCTTGCTGTCTAGGGCCTTGAAAGCTCACCACTTGAATGAAATTGAAAGATCCAAACAAGCGGAATCATAAGTCGAGATATTCCAGCAGGTAGTGTACTAGGTACTAATTAGAATCAACAACCGGAACAGCCTTGGTTGCAATATATAAGTACACATATTGTCATTCATTATTAAAATCCGCTTTGCACGCGCTAATCTTGAAAAAAAATTAATTTCCTCTCAAAGTTGTTCTGTCGTAACTAGAGCAAATAGAGATCCCGTGAATTTTCCGCTTTTTGCAAAAGCTGCAAAAAACTCTCTGAATGCAATTTAAACCGGGTCAAAAGGTCACGGTCAGGAAGATACAAGGAAATAATTTTCAGCTTGAGCGCTTCGAATGGATTGAATTTATTTGAGGCCAAAGTCGCAGAAATTCAGGAGGAGTGTTAAAATAAATTCGGGTCGATTGATTTGTTTGTTATCAATTAGGAAATGTAATAATTGTGATTTGTGTCGCTTCCTACCGCCGGTAATGGCCACCTCGTGTTGTACAACAAAAGGAAATTAAATTTAATTTCCGTAATTAAATCCGTTTATGTTTGTCGAAGGAATTTGTGGGATTTGTGAGACGTCACACCAGTGCTAATCGAATTCGTGCACCAACGCTAATTCCTAAAGGCAATACGACGCGAAACAGGGAAAAATCGTTACTTTATATCGTTGTCATTTCGAAAATGGAAACCTACGAGAATCGTGGATTAAAACGCGAAGAGAAAGTCATCGAACCAGTATTTATTTAGTGAAGTAACAGTCAAACACATTTACTTTCGATTTTTAAAATTAAAGGAAACCGCGATTTACGCAATTAGGTACTTGCAAGTGATTTTTTAAAAATAATACAAAACTTGTTCCGGTGTTTTTTTTTGGAGAAAAATCATTTGATGGTTTATTTTGAAATGCGTAATAATTTTATGTAATTAGGTAATAAAAGGGAAATATTTCAAGCTCGCGTGAAAGTCCGTTTCGTAAGGTACACGCTTTTTTCCTATGATAATTGATACGCGATAGCGACTGGAAGTTTCCTGAAACTTTCGAAATGTCAACGATACCAAAATGGTCAAAATTATAGAAACTGATTGATGCCGGAAGAATTACCACACAGGTTATAAAAACAAATAAATGTTGCCTCACTCACTTTTGACCAAC